ATTGATTAATCATACTAAATAATTGTACATATGTTTGTTCCTTTTTGTTAGGTAGCAATGCATAAACTGCAGGATGCACTCCCCCTAAAAATTCAGCTAAAATGACATAAACTTGGCAAAATAAAGTGGGTGCCACTTTGAAAGTTCCATCCATGTACCATATTTTCGAATCTTTTAATAACTTGAGACCAAGTGGTCGACCAAATATTAATATTCTTTCATTGCTAGGCCCACTATCAGCCAATAAAAAATGTTCATTAACTCCGATTGATGGTGAATAATTTTGATACTCATCGGGTATCTGTAAAGATAATAAATCTGATGGATCACATGGAGCTGCTATTTCATTATTTCTTATACGCCGTACTTGTCGTTTTAGAGCTTCGGAAGATTGTAAAACGCCCTATAAATTAAAATTAAAATTATTTATTAGTTATTACAATACGGACCAGATAGGGAAATAAAATTTAATGTGTGTACCTTTGCCGCATCTGATAGCCCGTTAACACATTCATTAATTACACAAGACGTAGGTTCCATTGTTAAAATAGCTCGTTGACGCATACTCGTTATAGCTGTGTCTGCTTCTATTCTAGCCGCTTCAGAATCATGACAATGTTTTTTAGCAGAAAATTTTAAAACTTTAAAATCATGTATACTGGTATGTATTCGAGCCGGACAAGACAAATCTTTACGACGACATCGCCAAAACCGTTTAGTTTCGTCAGCACTAAGCTTATCAAATATGAACATAAAACCATCCACGGGGATCACGTTTTTGTTTCTTTTTGATTTTACTTTTGACATTTTTTAACTTTTACGAATGATAAAAAAAATAATACCTACACAAAAAACTTGACTACGTATAGGTGTACCTACTTCACTTTCCGCAGACTAACTAAATTATAAAATTATAAAATTATCAGATCATCCATATCGACTATCGTGATGTCGATTTATCTTGTAGTAATAATAACAATAGTAATAAAGATAACATTTCTATACCACACGCCATACGGTGAGACAATGTTACAGATAGGTAGATTGCCGTATCGCCGAAATGGTCACGCGCCGAAACGGACATCGTCGAATTGATATATCGCCGAAACGTCCGCGCCGAACTGTCGGCGCCGAATCGCCCGCGCCGAAAAGTCCCATTCCCTTATAAGTATGTTAATGTTATGTTTACAGACCTACTAATTTGTTTATGAATCAAATTGTATTTCTGATGCTACAGATATTTGATGATTTACCGTCGTTGAAACAGAATCTATTACTTATATAAATTTCTAAATTAAAATTGTGAAAGAGTCAAGCTGAAAATTCAAACAAAAATCAAAATAAAACAAAAAAAAATCAGGATTCTTATACAAAGTTTATGTAATGCATATACATTTTCTAAGGAACATTAATTCAATACGACACTACTGTAGTCTTTGTATAAATTATACGTTATAGAATGGATGACGTATGTTCTACAATTTTAAATAGACAATGTTGAACAATAGGTACCCATTCTATACCGTACACTTTTGAATCTCACTGTAATAAACCGTAAATGTTAATTATACAAATCTAAGTATAACTCTGAAATACACAAAAAACATTAATTATTATAAAGAAAACCGTGTGAAAACTAGAAAAGTAGTTACAATAGTTAACCTATATAATTGTTATATTTTAACCTGGAATATATTTTTAGAAGTGTTCAGACATCATATAAAAAATAACACACCAAAGTCGCATTCAAGTTCGCCATAGTTATATACTTATATTTAACAACCATTAATTATCCCTCAATGTTAAAGAGCGGTTTGTCGATCACATTATAATGTTCATACCCATGATGTTGTGGACGAAGACGTATATGAGTAGCTTGTAACAAAATTCTGCCAAGAAAGATAATGTTAAATACACAACTTTACATCAAGGATTCTTCTAAAAATTTTTAAAACGCATATATATTTTCAATAAAACAGTTATTCTATACGAGACTGCTGTAAACTGGGTATAAGATATTCGTTTTAAAATGGGTAATCT